TTCACAAAAAACTGAATTTCCATGGAGCTAACTTTGGCTTCAATTTCCCATTCAACTGATAATGGTTTTGAGTAACCAAATATACTATGTGAATCACAACGCGACATAGAATGCGTTACCACTTAGACCTGCCAACTCTGGCGCATGGGTCTTACCTAAAAATTAGACCAAAGTTGAGGAAAAGTTCTGTTTTTCCAAAACTTCCAAAACTCATTTCTAACAATGAGTTTGTTTAATAGAAGAGAAATTCTAGTCTAAAAGATAGTAAAACATTAGTTTTCTTAACATGAAAGTAAAATTTTACTTTATTTCAGAGTAAAGTTTTACTGTATATCAAAGTAAAATTTTCTCTAAATTGAAAGTAAAATTTTACTGTGTTGTTGAATGTTTGTCTATGTAATTTCTGATTTGTTTTCTGAATTAGAGTAAAATTTTACTTTAAAGTATGCGAGTCCATAAGAAAACATTTCCAACCTGCACCAAAATTTACAACTGAAAAATCTAGAAATCTCCTAGATGTTGATTTGTGATTATGTATCAATTTTAAGCAGAATATAACAATCCCAATCAAACAATCAAGACAAAGAGACACAACGATTTAAAACATTAGTTTTCTTAACATGAAAGTAAAATTTTACTTTATTTCAGAGTAAAGTTTTACTGTATATCAAGGTAAAATTTTCTGTAAATTGAAAGTAAAATTTTACTATGTTGTTGAATGTTTGTCTATGTAATTTCTGATTTGTTTTCTGAATTAGAGTAAAATTTTACTTTAAAGTATGCGAGTCTATAAGAAAACATTTCCAACCTGCACCAAAATTTACAACAATACACAAAGTCTCTGTTGCTCATAACACAATCTTTGTGCAAAAATAATATAACACCACAACTACATATATTATTAAGAGAGACAAAATATAAACTGTATCATTGTATTCTATCCATAACAATGTTTCATCCTAATCCATAACAAGTATAACATGTATCATTGTTACTCTTTTAGCATTCTTTTACCTACAATTACTCTTTAGCATTCTTTCATTTACAAAAAAACAAAATTACATTCATCGTTCACATCAGATACAAAAATGTAGTTCTCAAAAGTCGTCCACATTGTCGTCTTTGAGGTCTTATTACTTGGCTATTTTCCTTTGAGGTTGAATTGTTCCTCACCCCATGCTTTTGAATAATCATTCAAAAATTAATGCACTATTGGTGCTTGGAAATTGTTAATCTCATCATCTTCCATAGACTTTGCAATAGGTTCATCTCTCATGATTTGACGCATGATATAGCATACAATAATTCCACAATCAACACTGTTAATAGAAATCAAAATATTGTTAGATTTACCCAAATTTGAAAATCAACAAAATCATAAAGCTTAGCATTTCTAACATATAAACAAAGAATATTCATATTCATGAGGCCAAGGGAAAAAAAAAATAGGGAAAAATGCACAGACATTGTAATGAAACAGTAAATTTTACTGTGAAAGTAAAATTTTACTCTGTTTAGAAGTAAAATATTGCTCTCTTTGAAAGTAAAATTTTACCCTGATTGATTAGTAGTTTTGTTTGTAACATAAGTCAATAAAGCAACAAACAACCAGGCAAGCATCTACACTATCTCTTACTTTCAAAATTAATGCAATTAAATCACATAAAAGCAACAAAAAAAGCAAAATCGAAATCAACCAAACACACCAAATTGTATCAAAATGGACCGTTTTTAGGGCTTTAATTAAGGTCAAAAGCAACAAGAAACAAAATGAATATCGAACAAACTCGTATTATAATCTATACATTGTAATAATAATAATAATAAATTATTCATTATTACCAACACAAAACACAGATAAAATCCCTTCATCTAACATTTAAGCATATTAAAACATCACAATGCCAAAAAATCGCATACAAAGAGCATAAGAGAACAAACTTTAGTTTTCATTAACCAGAGTAAAATTTTACTGTTACGAAAACAAAGCACATACTAGATAAAATAATTATAATCGAATTTTACTTTAGATCTATGAACAAACAAACAAAAAACTCTCTATTTTTCATTGTAATATATCAATTTATCATTTTTTGACATATATGAGGTCATTTTATCTCAAATATGAAGTTATTGATCTCAAATATGAGTTCATAGGCATCAAATTTGATATGGTGATGGTTGATAGTAAAAATGGTGGTCGTCGACCAATGATGAGCGATGCCGACCGAGAAAGAAAGTTGTAAAAGAAAGAGAGTTTTTTTGACTTGTGATGGTTGATTCGAAAGTAACGATTGGTAGAAGATGATGAAATCGTTCAATAACTTCGAAACATTCGACAATGGCACTTGAAAATCTCTCCTTATGCTTCAATTTTTGTTTCAATTAATAGTTTTTGAATGAAGGTTTTCAAATTAAAGGTTTTTGAACTTTGACAGTTTTCAAACAAAGAAAAAGAACAAGAGAGACAAACAGCTCAACTGCTTACTATTACCCGTATATATGCAAGGGTATTCCTATCTTTTCAGCTTATTTTTTAATTTTGAGGGGTTTTTGACAGTATTAATTTATTCCATATCCTTTACACAAAAAAGGCCCAATAAGAGGGGCTTCTCACCGAAAAGCCGTATTTTTTATATACGAATATAATTTTTCATTTTTATTTCCATCATTATATCTAGATTAGATCAATTTAATCTAGATATATTTAAAAAGTATAAAATTTGTGCATTTTTTTTTAAAAAATCCATTGAATACAACAAAATAAGATAATGTATTATTATTATTTTGTGTATGGTGAATTTAAAAAAAATACAAAATATTATACTTCTTAAGTATATCTAGATTAGGTGTATCTAAAAAATAAAAATAAAAAATTCTTAAAATATTAAAAAATTCAATTAAAAAAAACACAAAAAATAAAAAAATAAACTCAATTTTTTGTGAGTTAAATCAAAGAAGATGATTGTTATTTCCCTTAAAATGAAATAAACAAAATATCTATATTATTTTATTATTTTATATGAATAAATGCTAAGTGGCAACTATGTCATTTTAGTTTGACAGGAACGTGTAATTTTTCAAATATGATGGGAGAATTTGTATTAAATAGAAATCTTAAAAGGTGTCAGTATAATTTTCCTTCTTCTTTTTTTTTGTTAATTATGACTTCTTTTTTTTTAAAGTTATATATCACGTTGCGTTTAGTTATGATATATATTTTTTATAGTAAAAAAATTAAAATTAAGAGAAATGTATAAAGGTTATTTTAGCCAAATTAAAAAATATATATTACTTATTCAATACATTTATAATCTTTCTTACTTTCTACGATAACAGGGTGAATTATACTTATTCAATACATTCTTAAAATTCTATTTTTATATATGAAAAGTTGAAATATTAATTACAACTTAGTTGTATACAAAGAGTTACGCTAGACACTTTAAATATTTTACCAAACCTTTCACATGAGTGTGTGACTTACATACATGTAGATTTGTGTCATGTAAGAAGTTTGGTAGAATATTTGAAAGAATATTTAGAGTACATAGCATTTCTCGTATACAAATTCAAAGTCATTGAAATATTCAATAATAAATGTATTCAATTAATGAGTAACTAAAAATAGATATTTATCAAAATCCAGGCAAATTAATATACCATTAATTAAATATACCTAAGACATTAGTTTATATTTTAAAACCTTTATTGTTAAAATATTAATGATATAAAAATAAAAAAATTCAGTCCATATTTTTATATAAAATAATATAATCTAGTGAATTTTTCATTTTAAAATAAAACACTCATAATTTTTATTTTTTAAAAAATATAATCATAATAGTTTTGTAAAAAATAATTTTATGCCGTACGTGATTGGGAGATTTAAGAAGAGATTTATAAAAAAGAAAAAAGAAAAAAAGTGTGTGCAATTATGTGAAATGTATATATATTTTATTTACATTTCACCTACTTTTTTCTTTTTCCTTTTCAAATCTCCCAACCAAACACAACATAATGATCTATTTACACAATTTTATAATTAAGGATAAAATGATTTTCGTTTGGGATAAAATAAAAAAGTCAAAAAAATCAAAAAGTTACTAAAAAATTAAAAAATCTATACTATTTAAGGGTAGCTTGTGGGTAGGGGTGTAAATCTAACTCGGTCTAGCCCGGTCCATGTCGAGCCTCTTGGGCTCCCGCCAAAATTCTGGTCAGGCTAGCCTACGGGCCAAAAAATTAGGCCCAAGCCTTAGCCCTAGCCCTAGCCCAGGCCCAGGGGTATTCGTCCCTTCGGCGGGCCGGTGGTCCGGGCCTTGGGCTGGTCGGGTGGGCTTGAGCTTGGCCTCAGTCTTGGGTGTACTTGACCATTTTTTTTTGTTTTTTGAATTTTTTCTATCAAAATTTTATTATTTCTATTTAAAAAGACACTGGACCTCGGGCGGACTGGGCCGGGACTCGGGCCGGGCCTTGAGTGGGACGCAAGCGGGCCGATGGATCGGGTCACGGGCCAAACCGGGTTTCAAAATGATGGCCCAGGATCTCGGACTGGGCTTGGGCTCGGGCCCAAATGGATCTGACTCGTCCCTGGCCGCGGGCAGGTTTCGGGCCACCCACGGACCACCAGCCAATTTTACACTCCTATTTGTGGAGGGAAACCATCCTTTGAATCTAACTATCCAAAAGGTCAAAAAATTAAAAGTGAAAAAGTCAAGAGGGTAAAATGGTCATTTTGATTTTTTTATAATATTTTATTACACATCTTTTAGTAAGAAGTCAAAAAATTATTCCAAACATATATATTTTTTCTCTACTTTTTTTAACCAAAAAATCAAAAAATATATTTATATAATACATCCCAAAAAACTATTCATTTGTAGTCTTTCATATTTTAAAACAACATTTTTCAACCATTTTGGAATATCTCCATGTAAATAAATCCTTTATTTTATTTTATTTTTTTTATTTTTCCGTTCTATCCGATCTGCTACCTTTTAAATCCCTTCCCCCCAAACTTGCTCCATATCTGTCCCTCTTTCTCTACAGTCTCTCTCTCTCTCTCTCTCTCTCTGTAGCTTTCTCTCTCTAAAACTATATCTGACATGGCAGCTGAAGAGCCTCCGGCTCCTCCCTCTCTTCCTCAGTACCCAGAGGTAATCCAAAATGTGTTTTTCTTCTATTTTCTTACTCTCCAAACAGTGTTTTCTCTCAAGATCGACCTCGATTTGAGCTGATTTTGAGTATTTTTTTTTTCCAGATGATTATGGCTGCGATCGAGGCTCTGAACGACAAGAACGGTTCCAACAAGTCGGCGATCTCGAAGCAGATCGAGGCCACCGCTTCCGGAGACGTTCCGGCGGCGCATGCGACGCTTCTCTCTCACCATTTGAACAAGATGAAGCAGAGCGGTCAGCTCGTCATGGTCAAGAACAACTACATGAAGCCCGACCCCAACGCGCCGCCGAGACGCGGCCGCGGCCGTCCGCCGAAGCCCAAGGCTCAGCCGCCGCCTGACGCGGAGGAGGCTTCCCCGCCGAGGCCTAGAGGCCGCCCTCCGAAATCTACTGATCCATTGGCTCCGCCGCCTGCAACGAAGAAAGCGAAGACTGATGCTCCGGCGGCTCCGCCACCTAGCGGAGAGCGGAGAGGGAGAGGACGGCCACCAAAGGTCAAGCCCGCGGTGGCTGCTCCGGTAGCGTGCTGAATGAAAGAAAAGGATATTATTAGAGGTGCTAATGCTAATTATTATTATTATTATTTTTTTTAGTTTTTGTTTATTTGAATTTGCTTTTTTGAACATTTTAAAAAAGTTTATGGGGTGAGTGATGATGCTCTTTAGAAGAATATTTAGACTACATAGCATTTCTCGTATACAAATTCAAAGTCACTGAAATATTCAATAATAAATGTATTCAATTAATGAGTAACTAAAAATAGATATTTATCAAAATCCAGGCAAATTAATATGCCATTAATTAAATATACCTAAGACATTAGTTTATATTTTAAAACCTTTATTGTTAAAATATTAATGATATATAAATAAAAAAATTCAGTCCATATTTTTATATAAAATAATATAATCTAGTGAATTTTTCATTTTAAAATAAAACACTCATAATTTTTATTTTTTAAAAAATATAATCATAATAGTTTTGTAAAAAATAATTTTATGCCGTACGTGATTGGGAGATTTAAGAAGAAATTTAGAAAAAAGAAAAAAGAGAAAAAGTGTGTGCAATTATGTGAAATGTATATATATTTTATTTACATTTCACTTACTTTTTTCTTTTTCCTTTTCAAATCTCCCAACCAAACACAACATAATGATCTATTTACACAATTTTATAATTAAGGATAAAACGATTTTCGTTTGGGATAAAATAAAAAAGTCAAAAAAATCAAAAAGTTACTAAAAAATTAAAAAATCTATACTATTTAAGGGTAGCTTGTGGGTAGGGGTGTAAATCTAACTCGACCTAGCCCGGTCCATGTCGAGTCTCGTGGGCTCCCGCCAAAATTTTGGTCAAGCTAGCCTATGAGCCAAAAAATTAGGCCCAAGCCTAGGCCCAGGGGGTATTCAGGCCTTGGGCGGGCTGGGCTAGGCCTAAACATTTGTTATTATTTTTTATTTTTTCTACCAAAATTTTATTATTTTTTACTAAAAATGACACTAGGCCTTGGCGGGAGCCGAACGGGTTAGGCCTCGGGTTAGGTTTTGAATAGGTTTTGAGCAGGTTAATAGGCCAGGTCGGGCTTCAAAATGACGGCTCAGGCCCAAGGTCTCGAGCTGGGTCGAGCCCGAGCCTAATCAGGTTTAGTCGGACTGTTTGGTAAAATTTTTAATTTATAAATCAGTGATCTCAGTTTATAAATTTGGCCAAAAAATAAAAACACAAAAAATGTGTTTCCGTTTTGAATTTTCATTTTTTTTTTTTTTACCACCCAACACTAGCCACCACCCGCCACCATTTTTCACCACCATCTTCTGCCACCACCACCCGCCACCTACCCGCCACCACCACCTACCTGCCACCACCCACTATCCGCCACCCACCTACCATCCACCACCACCATCCACTCGCTACCACCCACCACTCGCCACCGTTACCCACCCACCTGCCACCGTCATCCACCACCAGCTACCCACCACCCGCCGTCACCACTTTCTACCACCGTCTTTCGCCGTCACTTGCCACCACTTATCATTTTTCAATCTTTTTTATATTTTTAAAATTTTTTAAACATTTTGTCAATTATCAAACGCGTTTGTGGTTTATGTTTTTTTAAAAATAAACAAAAACCAGTTTATAAAATTTTTGTAAATATAAACTGAAAACGTAAACGTTACCAAACACACCCTAAGAATAATAGATCAAGGCAAAAGCATGACAAATTGTTATTAAATTCTATAAATTTTATTGTATGAATTGTAAGTACAAGCAAAATCCTAAACTCTAAGCAAATTCCAAAGCTTTCCATGGAAGAAGAGTTTTGGGGGTCGCATTGTAGTTGGAGTGCTTATTTTTTGTATTTATACATGGTACCATGTTGCTTATGGTGTATTGTATTCAATTTATTAGATAATTGAAAATAGAGGAAGCAACCATTCAAACCGACCAATTGGTATCTCAAACTAATTCATATTTCTAAAAGTATGAACATATAATATTCACTATCTTGTAAACTTTCATAATTCATTTATCTTATAACCATTGCATATTATTCTGAAATGGATTTGCTAAACTTGTATGGGCCCTATCATCATATTTTCCTCTAGCTCTTCAGCAAAGATTAACATGCTAGTTGGGCCTATCACATATTGGACCATTATTAACATCCGAAAAGGAAATGCAAGCATGTAGGATATAAGGTGAAGGATACATAGTGAGCCATGCACACACAAAGACAAACATGCAGTTGCTTTTCAAACCATAATGCCACTGAAATAAATTAATAACACCTCCCTCTATCACCCACTAAAGGTGAATTGATTATCGCACAAGATTCCAGAATGAATTTTTTTATGGTATCTTAAAATAATTCCAACAATGACATATATTATAAAACAGTGAATGCTTGATAGCTAGCTACATCCATATGCGTAACAAGACGTGTGTAAATCTATGGAATTCACATAAATGACGACCAAAGTTAAAACTACTTTATTTGTCTTTGTAATGCACAATAACTGATATATTGGTATTCCAGGGAAGGAAACACTATTTTCTCTATGTTGCAACATAAACCAAAATTTACAATCTTCTTTCCGTTGATCAATGTGAACAAAAATTTACACACAACAATGCAAGAAAGCAAGCGCTAGAGTATCAATATTTTGACATTATGTTGTCAATAAGAAACAAAATGAATAAAAGTTACCTGATGCAGATACTCTTCCACGATTGTTACCTCAGTAGGGAAAACATCTTCAAAAATCATCTTGAAGAAAAAAGTTAAAATATGAAAGGATGGATACAAAATAAATAAATAAATAAACAATACTAAGTGAAAAATAAAAAATAAAAAAAAAAAAGTAAAAAAAGAGGACAAAATTTTGGAAATCCATGGTACGATTAGATTCACTTGATACAAAATTTCAACCTAACAAAACTACTGAATTACTCTAAGACAAATATCATAAGTGGCAGTCAATGAGAAGAATAAATTATGCATCAAGTTGAAGATTTGAAAGAATTACCTTTAATTCAAAAGATTTAAGATCCCGAGCAAACTGCTCTGCATTGATTCCTTCACGGGTTAATAGCCTGTATATAAATTAGAAAAAAACAAACAATAGAAAAAAACTTCCGAAGTATGGAAGAATATCAAACTATTGACAACCATCAATCAGACATTCTCAAATAGTTGATTCTTAAGGAAAACCAAAAAAGAGGTCATTGCAAACCCAAATTGGAAAAGAGGATAAGATATCCTTTGCAGTTATTAAATAAACCATGGAATCTCAAAACAATCATTGCAAACCCAATTTGTTACAAACTTCCAAGTTCCAACTTCTCATATCCTTTCCTGTATTTTCTCATCATCCAAACTGATAAATTATCATTGCCTCAAAGTCATCTTGAGAAACTTGTGCACGAACTTGAGTGTCAGTGTTTGTGTATGTTTAAATGTCCACATATGCATAATAAGTGTACACATCTGTATGTATTTTCATCATGCATAAAATTGATGTGTGTGTATAACAGAAAGATAAGTACATAGTGGTAGCAATAGGTTAAGTAAGAGCTTAACTTCTTAGGGTTTTTGCCTTTAGCTTTTTCGACAATGCCTCCAACAACCGAGAAAAAATTCAGACATGGGTTGTATTGATTCTCTAATGTTTGAACCCTAGCGAGTTTTATCCAAACTAAATAAATCAGCTCACAAAAAAAAAAAATCCATCTTTGCAGCCAATAAAAATTCAAGAAGAACACAAAAACAATAATATAGTTTAATTTAAAACTCTTAATTTTCCTTTGCAAGACCTAAGCTACAGTTGTTTGCTGAGTTTTTTTTTAAAGTTGGTTTAGGCATATTATCAAACACATGGTGAACAATATATGGAAGCCAAAACATCTCAATCTCTTAGTCAAAGATGTTTACAAATACATGGTGGATAAAGCATCTCATACCCCCCCAAAAAAAATAGAGTATCAATAAAATAAGGCCATGGAATCTCATAAAAAAAACAACACAACATCAATAAAATAAGGCCATGAATGTATAATAACATTAAATACAAGTAGGCGTAAGACAGGAACACCCACAGAAAGAGAGACAGAGAAGATGAACATACCTGTTATTTTGTTTGCTATAGATACAAATATGACCGACATCAGCAGCAAAAAGTATATATATAATCCTATTTCTCCTTATCAGTTCATAGTCGGTTTGTTTTTGCTGTCTCTTGCTTTCCCAAGAGGTAGAATCAAGCAGGTGACTCATCAGCATCAAGCAGTTGAATCATTCTGAATACCATCCTCAGCCAAAAAGTAGCAGGCGAAATGGAGGACCAAAAAAAAACAAACCAAACCGACTCACCGAAGCATCAACAATCAAGCCAGGACAAATGAGGGACTTTAAGGCGTTAGATTCAAAAGGAGCTGCCTGCTTCCCTTCTTTTATCTTGGAACTTTTAAGAAGGTTGGTGAAATTTGTCTTCTTCTTCTATTGTGTATGTGGATGATTTGAAGCCCCATGTGTGTAGTCCAAAATCTGCAAGGAAAGAGTAAGAAACCAAGCAAACAGGAGTGTTATATCACTGCAAGCAGCAGCGTTATGCCACTCTTACATACTTTTAAGGGTTTTTTGGGATGATCTAAATAAGTATATTTTTTGACTTTTTATAAAATATGAGTTAGGTTTGAAGTGATGTGTTAAAGAGGTGATATGACTTAAATAAGATGATGTGACTTAAATAGGATAGTAACTTTTTTACTTTTTTCAAACATGCCAAACCAACCCTTAATATATGTTATAGATATAGAGAGAGATATACTTGTTTATTACAATTTTGCGTGTGGTGGCTTTGTGTTTTTTTTCAACAATGAGAGATGTTCTAGTGCATTTCGACTAATTTCTTTTTTAGTCTGGTTAAAGGATGCTTTGTTACGCTGAAATTAGAGAATTTATGAGAAATTTCTTTTTCATAACCTGATCTCAAATATTAAACTCTGAACAATCATATAAAAAACATACTCACTGTGGGGATATATTTTCTAAGTACCAACACGTGGCCAATGTGACGCCGATGTGTCAGTCGGGGTGCCACGTGTCCAAGTAGTGACGCCGAGGTGATCTCAGCTAGGCTGAGGTTATCTCCGAAGATATCGAAGTCCGG